TCTAAACGTTTTTGTCATTCTATTTGCATTTGGGTAAACGTATCTCTGGCCATCAGCACACTTTGAGCAACGTTAAATTCCTTATCGCATCAGTGGTTTCCGTCCCGGATAATGCGGTCGGGTTATTCCAGCCACGATGACAATCTGACTGCATGTATTTACTGGAGAAATAACACTGTAAAGCTGATCGTTAAGAAATATTGTGGCTTTACTACTCTGTATATAATCAATTATATGGTCATTTTTTATTTGAAATACTTCCGTGACAGGTTGTAATAAAATCAGATTTCTAAAAGTGTGCAAGTACGTCATACCTTTTGGTTAAGCCCATTTACAACAAAACAACAACAACAAACACTGTCGTTGTCAGCTACTCTACATGACGGGTTATTACATTTGACATGTTTGCATCGCTGAAATGTCTTACGGGCAAGTTCACAAGACACTTTATTCTATTTGAGTCAGTTATTGGCTCACAGTGTTATTATGATTATGAAGGCAGTACTAATAAATCTTAACGCTCCCTTCGTTGAGTATCCTTGGCTTCCCTATGGGTATTCCGAACACCGCAGGGAGAGTTGATATTTGTCCTTGGCTTCCCATGGGTATTCCGAACACCGCAGGGAGTGTTGATATTTGTCCTTGGCTTCCCTATGGGTATTCCGAACACCGCAGGGAGTGTTGATATTTGTCCTTGGCTTCCCCATGGGTATTCCGAACACCGCAGGGAGCGTTGATATTTGTCCTTGGTTTCCCAATGGGTATTCCGAACACTGCACTGAGCGTTGATATTTGTCCTTGGCTTCCCTATGGGTATTCCGAACACCGCAGGGAGAGTTGATATTTGTCCTTGGCTTAACTATGGGTATTCCGAACACCGCAGGGAGTGTTGATATTTGTCCTTGGCTTCCCTATGGGTATTCCGAACACCGCAGGGAGTGTTGATATTTGTCCTTGGCTTCCCCATGGGTATTCCGAACACCGCAGGGAGTGTTGATATTTGTCCTTGGCTTCCCTATGGGTATTCCGAACACCGCAGGGAGTGTTGATATTTGTCCTTGGCTTCCCCATGGGTATTCCGAACACCGCAGGGAGTGTTGATATTTGTCCTTGGCTTCCCCATGGGTATTCCGAACACCGCAGGGAGCGTTGATATTTGTCCTTGGCTTCCCTATGGGTATTCCGAACACCGCAGGGAGTGTTGATATTTGTTGATCCTTGGCTTCCCCATGGGTATTCCGAACACCGCAGGAGTGTTGATATTTGTCCTTGGCTTCCCCATGGGTATTCCGAACACCGCAGGAGTGTTGATATTTGTCCTTGGCTTCCCCATGTGTATTCCGAACACCGCAGGAGCGTTGATATTTGTCCTTGGCTTCCCATGGGTATTCCGAACACCGCAGGGAGAGTTGATATTTGTCCTTGATATGGGTATTCCGAACACCGCAGGGAGTTGATATTTCCTTGGCTTCCCCATGGGTATTCCGAACACCGCAGGGGAGTGTTGATATTTGTCCTTGGCTTTCCCATGGGTATTCCGAACACTGCAGGGAGTGTTGATATTTGTCCTTGGCTTCCCCATGGGTATTCCGAACACCGCAGGGAGTGTTGATATTTGTCCTTGGCTTCCCCATGGGTATTCCGAACACCGCAGGGAGAGTTGATATTTGTCCTTGGCTTCCCCATGGGTATTCCGAACACCGCAGGGAGTGTTGATATTTGTCCTTGGCTTCCCCATGGGTATTCCGAACACCGCAGGGAGTGTTGATATTTGTCCTTGGCTTCCCCATGGGTATTCCGAACACCGCAGGGAGTGTTGATATTTGTCCAAACTCTAACGAAACAGGTCAACAGGACGGATTTCAGTGATGAAACTATCGGGTATTGATTGAATGTATATGTCCCATACCGTTTTAGTTTCTATCAAATGTATTTGAATCCATCTTAAAATTTAAAAACTTAAATGAAAGTGAATTCTTCGCAAGGCACAGTTAAAAGGAAAGAAAGAAGCTTTTAAACTTTTTCTGCACTATATACAAATATCATCATCACAGAGTAAACGATCAGGCACAGACTCAGTTGAAGTACAGTCACGTGACACAAATACAGTTGACGTATCAATCGCATCAGACAGTTGACCTCCCATCATAAGAAGTTTTTCAGCGGAGTGAGAGAGTGAGTGAGGTTAGTTTTACGCCGCTTTTAGCAATATTCCAGCAATATCACGGCGGGGGACACCAGGAATGGGCTTCCCACATCGTACCCATGTGGGGAATCGAACTTCGAGGGTGACGAGCGAACGCTTTAACCACCAGGCTATCCCACCGCCCTTTTCCAGCGGACATAGACGTGATACAATTATCCTCTATTTTGTTCTCAAACAAACGATTAAACTTAAACAAGCGAATTAAGTACGGTATCTTAGAATATAGTATTCCCAAAAAAGGTAAATCTGTTTAGTTTAGTTTACAGCAGGTATCACCAAGGAAAGATCACCGTAGGTCCGTGAGATGAATGGAAATGTGGAACGTGATGTTGTCCACTCACTGTCTGTTCTCAATTCGACAACTAAAGCAAAATCGAAATACTTTCAGTCGGTGTCGTGCAGCACTCTTCTCGCTGACACTTGTTGTTGTTATGGAAATGGTTTTGTCATTTTCCTTCATTTTACTTGGTTGCTTCGATACCATATGGGATAAATTTTCATTAATGGAATTTATATTTGTTCATGTTTTGAGATGTTTGTCTCTTGGATGTTAAGCAAATTCACCGGAGAACGCGACATTATGTTTTTACGTTAATGTAATGTTTATGTTATGTTACTACCAACCAGATGGAATTTATTTAATCACATAATCGAGACTGGTAAATCACTGACATTTTACATTCGTACATGTTTGATATGTTGATGAATTTATACATACCAGTAGTCCAGTATTTCAGGGTCAGGTCATGGAGGTCAAGGCCTCAACCAAAGGTCACGGAAAAGTTATTACTCTTGTGATTTATAGCGTCTATTATTAGTTGGTCTTTTATGATCATGTCGATGTAATACTTGTTATTATCTTAGTAGGATTCCACAATTAATCATTGATGTCGGAATATACTTGTACTGCTGTATTCATGATGTTTTAACTTGTGTAGGTTATCGAAGAAGGTTAACGTAATAGACCCCAGCATTGTTTCCTGTGAAATGAACTTGTATTGTGTTGTACGGTGCTATTCCGGTCGAAATTTAATACTTGTCTTAATAGGAGAATAAAATCTGAGTTCATCGACTGTTTGTGTTGCATGTAGTCATGGTATCGACCTCTGTTTTGTCCCTAACCACAACGATAAAGCTGGAATATTGTCTGAATATTGCTGACTGCGGTGCAAAACTATGAAGAAACCCTTGAAAATAACATTGTTATGTAGAAACCTTCACAAAAAAAGAAAGGCCTACAATTGAAAAAATATATGACTAACTGAGTTAAGAATGTTCGGTTGTCTGTTTGGATTTTGTCCGTTTCTCTACCTGTGTGACCGTGCCTCATCTCACCTTGGAGACTAGCATATAAGGTGTGGACAGTGAAGTGAGTGAGTGTGGGGTTCGGGGTGTGGGGTGTGGGGGGTGGGGTGTGGGGGTGTGGGGTGTAATTTTTTTATTTGAGCAGAAAGAAAATGAATGGTGAAACTTGGTAGATGTCTTAGAAGAAAGCTAATAGGGTTTGGGTCCAGATGTTAAGCAGAATTGTTTTATGTTTAGTAGAACTGAAGAACTGACAGAAAACATAATTCATCTGCGACAGAAATGCCCCAGCTATAACTACCATAGTACACACTCATGTTTACACTACTTGAGACTACTGGTTTGTAAATGGGTACGGCTTGACACACGGCTTGACAGTTGATCTTTCTGTACTTGCCGTTAAAGGAGTAACATTTAGTATGTTATACGTGTCTTTGACGTCACTGACAATAAACGACATCGTAGGCGATTATCTGACACAGTCAGCCATTCAACAGTCTCCTTACTATCACATCACAAACAAAACAACTCACACACACACACACACACGCACGCACACATACATACACAGACACATGCACACACACATACATACACACATACATACATACATACACATACATACATACACAGATACATGCACACACACACACACACACACACATACATATACATACATACATACATACATACATACATACATACATACATACATACATACATACATACATACATACATACATACATACATACATACATACATACACACATACATACATACATACATACATACATACATACATACATACATACATACATACATACATACATACATACATACATACATACATACATACATACATACATACATACATACATACATACATACATACATACATACATCAACCGGACATAAATAAGGCTGTTCGATAATCCCTGTTTTGAGTTTAGTGTTGATATAGTTGACAGTTACGAGGTTCAATATCTCAGTGTGTTCTGTTTAACCCTAGCCTGGCCTCACACCGAGGCTGTCGCATCCCCATACCTACTCTCATCCCGACGACGACCCAGCGTTCTCCTACAAACAGAACACACCTACCCTCGGGCAAGAATATCAATCAGTTAATGCGACGGGAATGATAGTCTCATGTCTACCCACCGCTGCGGAGAAGCATTTATATCAGATAAACGCTGGCCATGTAACAATCTGAATATGTTACACGAGAAGACTGGGTATTGTGTTTGACGGTATGGTTGTTGTGTTTTAGTTTCATGGTTTCACTGTTTAGCCAGCCAGGCTACCTGTGTGCGACAGGCCCGTCTGCCGCTGATGACATTTTGTTAACATGACATACACCTCTATCAACCAAGCCACATTTTCTTCCGTCTATTTGTGTTCGCTGATTGGCCGACTCAGTACGGTAAGCAGCCAACCAGTGCTAAGCAGGTCACGCTCATTGACGAGCGTACGTATGACTAGGTGCAGAGATTGCATGACGGGAGAAAGTGTTAAAGAAAACACGAGTGGAGAGAGAGAACGTGAGAGGGTGAGAAGCGCCACAGTTGACAGAGTGTGTGGTGCTGAAGTCGCTTCACAGCAACAAAACATAAATGTTTTCACAGGTGAGACAAGGCAATTTTGTCACAATCGTAAATAGTGTTTCATGTATTGATTAGTGTAGCCTGTAATATAGATGCGTTCGATTTGTTTTATATTGACTTCCTTTCATTCGTCTTTAACATACACCTTGTACTATTGATAACAGCATTGGTCGTTACGTAACGCCACAATGACACAGGTCACAACTGTCTAGTTCTGTCGGTGAATAAATTTAGTTGTTTTCTAGCTTATTCACACAAAGCTGGTTTAGTACAATTTATTGATACTTAGTTTAATCCCATATATTGAGACTCTATCTGCCTATTACAAGATGTGCAGGCAATGCTGCGGTATGTATGGTGTCTGAGGGAGGGTGGAGTTTTAGGGGAGAGTAGATTCTGTGGGAGGGTGGTAGCTCTGTGCGCTGTTTCACAAATTACTGGAAAATTTACATTATCATTCAATTTGCTTTTTAAGTGAACAGAAAAGCGAAAAGCAACGAATATTATTGCAAGAATTGCAATGTCGTATCCACAAATTCTTTAAATAATTGATTCCCTCTTTGCAACTAACAGGATTCGACATTTCCGAGGTTGACTGCCAATGTGTAATATACTGCGCATTTGTGTAATTTACAACAGGACTTGGAACACTTATATAATGGGTATTGACCCGACATACCAAATCATTCCATATTTGCCTATATGATGCACTATTTTGCACCTATACTGGGTGTTTTGCTCCCCACACAGAGGTTAAAGTAGCAGGTATTGCAGACACGGCACCTGGCGACCGTCAGTCTGTACTTCTCTCTGTGAGTGTAGGAGGGATATCATATACCCTTTTGGAACATCGATTTGGCATTTTGTGTTAAACATATATCAGACGCTCTTGTTTTTTTACATGTATCAGACGCTCTTGTGTTAAACATATATCAGAAGCTCTTGGTTTAAACAAATAGCAGACACTCTTGTGTTAAACATATATCGGCCGCTCTTGTGTTAAACATATATCAGAAGCTCTTGGTTTAAACAAATAGCAGACACTCTTGTGTTAAACATATATCGGCCGCTCTTGTATTAAACATGTATCAGACGCTCTTGTGTTAAACATATATCAGACACTCTTGTGTTTAACATATATCGGACACTCTTGTGTTTAACATATATCGGACGCTCTTGTGTTAAACATGTATCAGACACTCTTGTGTTAAACATATATCAGACACTCTTGTGTTTAACATATATCAGACACTTTTGTGTTTAACATATATCGGACACTCTTGTGTTTAACATGTATCAGACGCTCTTGTGTTAACATATATCAGACGTTATTGTGTTAAACAAATAACAGACGCTCTTGTGTTAACATATATCGGACGCTCTTGTGTTCAACATATATCAGACGTTCTTGTGTTAAACATATATGAAACGCTCTTGTGTTTAACATATATCGGACGCTCTTGTGTTAAACATGTATCAGACGTTCTTGTGTTAAACATATATCAGGCGTTCTTGTGTTAAACATATTTCAGACGTTCTTGTGTTAAACATGTATCAGACGTTTTTGTGTTAAACATATATCAGACGCTCTTGTGTTAAACATATATCTCACGTTTTTGTGTTAAAAATATGTCGGACTCTCCTAATTAAACATATATCAGACGCTCTTGTGTTTAAGATATACCACACCCTTGTGTTTAACATCAAAGAGACGCTTTTGTGTTTAATATCTCACGTCTTCTTATGTTTAACATCAGCGCTGTTGTTTTTGACATTTCAGAAACTCTGCCATGTGATTAACATGGCAGACACTCTTTCGTTTAACATACAGATGTACGTACTTCAGGCGGGGCGGGGGCTAGCCCAGTGGTTAAAGCGTTCGCTCGTCTCGCCAAAGACCCGGGTTCGACTCCCCAAAGGGTACAATGTGCGAAGCTCATTTCAGGTGTCCCCCGCCGTGATATTGCTAGAATATTGCTAAAATCGGCGTAAAACTCACTCACTCACACTTCAGGAAGACTGGTGCTCAACATTTCAGATGCTGTTGTGTTTATTACATATCAGGGATATTTTGTATTTCACATCTAAGATACTCTAGTGATTATTTTATCATTCGATATAACATACACCTGGGAAAGACATGCTTTTTATAGCTCAGACACTATTTAATTCTATATGTGTCTATATCTCGGGCTCTCTTCGAGTTTAGGTCACGTGTCTCCCGTCAGTAGGTCAGACGTTACAATATATCATGATTCTTCTTATTACATATGGGCATAAATTTCGATGTATCATGTATATTATCTGTGGTATCGGGTTAATAATTGCGATGTTATCATTCTTCTTGTAGTATATGATCCGATATTACAATTATATGTCATTATCAGGATATATACTCTCCAAAAAAGAAACGCATATAGGAATTTTAACTGTATTTTTATGTTTATTTTGAAACATCTTGTAGGCTTTATGAGTCAATGAAATATAGCGAAATTGCACACTGGGAATGCAGACTTATCCGTCTTTGGCACCAACTCGAGGAAAGTCAGTTTGAGTGTCACATGGAGACGTGTGGTGGCGCTGAAGTCAATACCTCGTGTGACCACCGTGGGCATCCAGAACTGCACGGCATCGCCTCGGCATCGAACGAATAAGTCTCAGAATCTCGTGTTGCCCAATCGCAGCCCACTCTGCCTGTAGTGCCTGTGCGAGTTGCTGAAGTGTCTGGGGCTGAGGGTTACGGCGTCGCACCCGTCTGTCCAGGGCATCCCACAGATGTTCGATCGGGTTTAAGTCCGGTGATCTTGAGGGCCAGGGGAGCACATTGATGTTGTGGTTATGGAGGAAGTCTCTAGTGTGACGTGCTGTGTTGGGCCTGGCATTGTCCTGTTGAAACAACTCCCTCTGGCGATTAATAGTTGGAAGGAGGTGTGGGCAAAGGATTTCGTCACAGTACCGTTGAGCTGTCAGGTTGCCCTGGATCATCACCAAATCACTTCTCCTACGGCAGGTGATCGCTCCCCACATCATATCAGTGCCCCGGCCGAATCTGTCCACCTGGGGAACGCAAACGTCGGCGAAACGTTCACGTCGACGTCTGTACACCCGCATTCTTCCATTGCGTCGTTCCAGTGGAAATCGTGATTCATCACTGAACCAGATTCTACGCCAATTCGGTAGGTTCCAGGCCTGAACGTTGGTGCACCATTGAACTTGAAGTCGACGATGTTGTTGTCGAAGCACAGGGCCAAAATTAGGTCTTCTGGCACGTAAACCAGCCCCTCTCAACCTGTTCCTGACGGTCTGTGCAGACAGCCTCCTCAATCCGGGTATTTGTCGAGCGGTACTGGTCGCCGTAGCTGTTCGATGACGCAGGTGATGTACCCGGATGTAGCGATCCTGCGCCGCAGTGGTCGCTCGAGGTCGCCCACTACGAGGGGCATCTGCTATCGAATTCTGCCGGCGATGTCTCTCCCAGAGTCGTGAAATGGTGCTTTGGTGAACATTCCTGCGTCGGGCAACTGCACGTTGAGACTGGCCAGCTTCAAGCAAACCAATGGCGATATGACGGTTGGCTTCAATTAGACGTGGCATTTTGCGTTGGTCAACAATATTCCAAATACAGTGAATAATCGACAGACAGCAATCAACCTTTTATACCCATCATTGAGACTATCTGATCCCCAGCTTCCACGTGCATTGCATGTGAATTGTGTATTCTGTGACACTACACGCCGAAATTGAAAATCATGCTGTTAAATACGGGTATTTAACGGATGGTGCGTTTTGTTGTGATGTTTCAAAACATAAACACCATAAGGACTCATAAACAGAGCAAAACCTTTTGTAAAATGAATCACGTTTTAATTCATTGCTACATGAAAATGCTATTTTCATGATGCGTTTCTTTTTTGGGAGAGTATACTTGTCGTTCACTATCCCAGATCATATGGCCGGGATGCGTCACTGTTTATCGTTGATGGTATGGTCAGGATATACTTGTCTCACTGTTTATCTTAGATCGTATAGGGGCGGTGGGGTAGCCTAGTGGTTAAAGCGTTGGCTCGTCACGCCGAAGACCCGGGTTTGATTCCCCACATGGGCATAATGTGTGAAGCCCATTTCTGGTGTCCCCCACCGTTATATTGCTGGAATAGTGCTAAAAGCGGCTTAAAACTAAACTCAGTAAATTTAGATCGTATAGTCAGGATATACTTGTGTCACTGTTTATGGTAGATCGTATGGTCAGGATATATTTGTGTGACTGTTTATCGTAGATCGTATGGACAGTATGTACTTGTGTCACTGTTTATCGTAGATCGAATGGACAGTATATACTTGTGTGACTGTTTATCGTAGATCGTATGGTCAGGATATACTTGTGTGACTGTTTATCGTAGATCGTATGGTCAGGATACACTTGTGTGACTGTTTATCACAGATCATACGGTCAGGATATACTTGTGTGACTGTTTATTACAGATCGTATAGTCAGGATATATTTGTGCGTCTGTTTATCACAGATAATATGGTCAGGATACACTCGTGTGACTGTTTATCACCGATCATATTCTCAGAATACACTTGTGTGACTGCTTATGGTAAATTACATTCTCAGGATATACTTGTTCGACTGTTTATCACAGACTGTATAGTCAGGATTTACTTGTGTGACTGTTTATCTCAGGTCGTATAGTCAGGATATACTTGTGTCACTGTTTATCGCAGATCACATTGGTCAGGATATATTTGTGTCACTGTTTATCACAGATCGTATAGTCAGGATATATTTGTGTGACTGTTTATCTCAGGTCGTATAGTAAGGATATACTTGTGTGACGGTTTATCGCAGATCGTATAGTCAGGATACACTTGTGTGACGGTTTATCATAGATAATATACTCAGGATACACTTGTGTGACTGTTTATCGCAGATCATATTCTCAGGATACACTTATGTGACTGATTATCATAGATCGCATGGTCAGGATATATTTGTGTGACTGTTTATCGTAGATCGT